GAGTGTTTCGGAAGTATTCAGAGTGGCTGCAGAAAAGAGTGTGTGTCGGCAGAGTGCAACCAACAGATGCAAAGTCATGAATGACTCTATAGAACACCCTGAAGAATTGAGGCTTTGCTTTGTGATCCATGGAAGCCACTGAAGGGTCTTGAGCAAAAGCATGTGTATCAGAGAATTCTTGCACCACTATAAAGAAATACCTGAGACTGGGTAATCTATAAAGAAAGGAGGTTTAACTGGCTCACAGTTCCACAGGCTGTACAGGAAGCATGATGCTGACTTCTGGCAAAGGGAAAGCAGGCCCATCTTACCAAAGGGGGAAGAGAGAGAAAGAGGGGAAGTGCCACACACTTTTAAACGACCAGATCTTGCGGTAACTCAGTATCACAAGAACGGCACCAAAGGGGAAATCCACCCCCATGAACCAATCACCTCTCACTAGGACCCACCAACATTGAGGATTACAATTTGACATGAAATTTGGGCAGGGACAAAGACCCAAACCATATCAGCATGGTAATGAGTTTCATTCTATAGAAAGATAGTACATTAGTTTTTAGGGCTGCCATAACCAGTGATCACAAATGGGTAGCTCAAAACAACAGATATTTATTCTTTCCCAGCTCAGGAGGTAAGAAGTCCAAAACCAAGATGTCAGCAGGGTTGGTTCCTTCTGGAAGCTCTCATGTTCCATGCTTCTCTCCCAGCTTCTGGTGGCTCCTGCAATCCTTGGTGTTTCTTGGCTTGTAGCCTCATCACTCCAGTCTCCACTTCCATCTCCACATGGCATTCTCCTTCATCATGTGTCCTTTTCTTTTTTTTTTTTTTTTTTTTGAGATGGAGTCTTGCTCTGTTGCCCAGGCTGGAGTGCAGTGGCTCGATCTCAGCTCACTGCAACCTCTGCCTCCTGGGTTCAAGCGATTCTCCTGCCTCAACCTCCCGAGTAGCTGGGATTACAGGCGCCCACCACCTCGCCTGGCTAATTTTTGTATTTTTAGTAGAGACTGGGTCTCACCATGCTGGCCAGACTGGTCTCGAACTCCTGACCTCAAGTGATTCACCCACTTCAGCCTCCTAAAGTGCTGGGACTACAAGCATGAGCCACTGCTCCTGGCCTTATCCTCTCCTTTTCTTGTAAAGACACCAGCCATCGGACTTAGGACCTAATTTAGTATGACTTTTCTTGACTAATTACATCTGCAAAGGTAATATATAAGGTCCCATTCTGGGTGGATGTGAGTTTCAGAGGGTCACTATTCAACCCACTCCAGATCATAGAGGTGAGAGTGGTAGTGGGAACCTAGGAGACCAGTCGGAAAGCCAGCCCCACAGAGGGGAAATGGGTCATGGATGCAGCAGTGGAACAGTGACCCACTGTCATACCAAGGACTTTGTGTGGATCCCTTCCCAGAAAGAAGGGGGTCATAATGACACAGTGAGTCCCATTAGAAGGGACCTCAAAGATCAAATTGGGCCAGGCACGGGGGCTCATGCCTGTAATCCCAGCACTTTGAGAGGCCGAGGCAGGAGGATCACTTGAGGCCAAGAGTTTAAGACTAGCCTAGGCAATATAGCAAGACCCAGTCTCCACAAAAAAATTTAAATAATTAGCCAGGCGTCTGGTGTGTGCCTATGGTCCTAGCTACTCAAGATACTGACGCGGGAGGATCACTTGAGCCCAGGAGTTCCAGGCTGCAGTGAGCTGTGATGGCACCACTGCCCTCCAGCCTGGGCAGCAGAGCAAGACTCCATTCCTTTAAAAAAATCAAATTGCTCACTTTTCCTTTTCACTGATAAAAGTGGTCATGGACACTATTAAGTGGTGAAACTAGCATTTTACAATTAGATAATCTGTCTTGAGGATCCCTTTATAGTCTTAAGATTGTTTAATGCATACTGACTCTTTGTAGGAAGGTTTAGTTTAGGCCTTCAAGAGCTGAGAAGCTTATTGGCAGAGCCCGTAATTGTCTTAATAGACAGCATTTATTAAGCACACACTAAATGCCAGGTACTATGCGAGGTACCTAGAATTCCTTAGCTGTAATTCTCATACCTCTAAAAAGAAAGGCAATATTATGAATGTCTCCTTTCTACAGATGAGGAAATTGATGCATGGGGAGGTTCTAACTTGCCCAGAGTCACACAGTGATGATGCTGACCTGCAATTTAGGGCCATGCAATGCCAAAGGAAGTTTTTCAAACAAACAAAAACTATTGAGAAAAGAATAGAGGATGAAGGGCAGAGGGCTATGAATATTTCAATTCAAGAGGCCCCAATTTATCTTGATCCCAAAGAAGAAGTCTTCATTTATCCTAGCTTAGGATAAAGAACCAGCTCTGGAAGGCTGCATGACAAACTGGGGTCACCCTCTTAGTTCATGGGGTGCTTAAAAGGAGATGCACCCAGGACCCAGATGGGCATCCTCCTGCTGAAACAGGGAACTGGGATCCAACTTAATTAATCTTCTTCTCACTGCCAACATTTCCCTTGCCCTCCCATCTGTTCTTTTCTCCAGGGATTAAGGGACCTTTACAGTTCCAGCTCATTCAGAATAAAGTTCCTTCAAATGAGTGGCCAATTTCTTTTTTTTTCCTTTGAGCCTGACATGCAGAGCCAGCTGTTGACTTAGGAAACTCTGCCAACAGCGCCTGTCGGGTGCAGACCTCATCTGGTGTCTGCTTGGGATTTTCCTTTTAATTATAATTATACTTCAAAGGGAATCTGGAACTTGCAGAGCCAAAGATCAAAGCCTCAAGAGGGGCTATGTTCTCCCTAACAGTCCCCAACAGGGCTCTGAAGACAGGGGGAAGGGAAGGATGTAGGTGATGCCATCAGCCTGGCTAACCTCAGCCCTCCCACATCGCACCCTGTGTTCATGTGGCTGCCACCGGGCATCCAGCTTAGCCAACTGGTCCCCTCAGTGTGGCTAGAGTAGGAAATTACCTATAGGGTATGATCTGAGGATGGAGCAGCATAGTCCACACTAAAACATACCCCTACACACCAAAACTTGCTACTTGCCTAAGATTGCACCATTTGCCAAGCATCCTTTTAGATTAAGTATCGTGCACTCCATGCTCTCCATTTTCAAGGTGAAAATGCTACTAAGCTAGCGATGCCATGTGTCACTCCCACCTTAGTATGAATTAGCCTACAGGCTGGTTTCCATAGTTCAGAGCAGCATGAGGATATTTAGCACTGGGTGGAGGAGGATGATTGGTGGAGAAGAGTAATATTTCAATATCGCTGAAAGGGGAAAGAAATGAAGGAAACCAAAATGTATTAAGCACCTACTGTGTGATAGTCTTTTACATACGTGATATTATTTGTTTTCTTAGCAACTCTCTAAAGTTAGCATTATCACCCGCATTTTGTAGTTGTCTCTCCCCTCCCAGTTGAGTTTAATCCAGTGGTTCTCAGACTTTAATAGCCATAGGAATGCCTGAAAGTGGAGATTCCTTGGTCCACACCAGAGGTTCTAATTCACCTGATCAGAATGTAGTCCATGAATTTGCAGGTGTAATAAACTCCCAAGTGATGCTGCTGGCATTGGTTCATGGACCACAGCTTGAGCAGCACTGGTCTTGGCTGGTCATAGCTGTCTTATTCGCTTAGCCAACAACTGGTTCAAATGATGGGCATCCTGGAGCCCATTTGGGCCAATGGGTAGGGGAAAGAAGCCTTGACCCTGGTTGCTGCCAGAAGCCACTTTACAACCATGAGGGGAAGATGTCTAAGGATGAGGCTAATTCTGTGGGCAATTGACTCTCTGCAAGAGCTCAGTGACATGACAGACCTTCAAAGTCAACCCTGAAATCCCAAATCCTACTCTGTACTTCTTCTTACATAGAGTAATAAATTTCCTTATGTGTAAGCAAGAGTGAGTGGAGTTTCCTGTTACTTTTGGCTCAAAGACACTATCAACATTCTCAGATGAAGAAAGAGGGGCTTGGTCCAAGGCCCATGGTCACAGAGCTGGTTACCCAGGTCTGTGTGATGCCAAGTGTCCTTCCAATTTATCACACTGTCTGAGTGGTTTTCTCTCCCAATACCTGATGTGACTCCCCATCTACTTTGGCACAAGCATTTGAGACCAGACCCATCTAATCTCCTACCAACAAGAGGTTCAGGATCCCATTCATCCATCCAACTGTCCATCCATCTGTCCATCTATCCATCCTTTCATTCATCAAGCATTTATCCAGCACTTGCCGCGTATCAAATCCTGTACTCAAGGCTGGGGATCTACTGCAAGACAAGGCGTAATCTTAGCCCCGAAGGAGCTCAGATCTAGAGGAAGAGACAGCCCCACAATCTCAGCATCTCTTTCTACATTCAAGACACGGGCATTGAGATCAGCCTATGGATGTCCAGATGTCCAGTTGTTGTGGGTTTCTAAGGCGTTGGCAGATAATAAAAGCTTAGTCTTCTTTTGTTTGACTCAGATAGATTTATCCACTTTTGGAAGGTTGAATTTATTTTAACATCAGTAAAGCAATTCAAGTATCCTCAATAATGGATATCATATAAATATTCAACCATCACATTTCTCTGTTTATAAAGCATCAAAGCGCACAGCACATTGTAAAGCTGCTAATTAATTCTTGTAACGCCCTGGTGTCATGAACAAAAGGCAGATAATAACCCTATTTTACCAGTGGGACCAATGGCCGCTGTAATTCAGCAACTAGCCTGTGGTCATGTGGCAGATCACCTGCATTTTATACCTTCATTAACAGCACAGTTTATTAATTGTAACAATTACATTAACCATTAACATTTATTGAGAGCCCCCATAAACCTGGCTCTGTCCTGAGAACTTTATACACATATCACCTCGTTGATTCTCCATCACAAGCCTATGAAATAGGCTCTGTGATTATTCTCACCTTGCACACAGGGAAACTGAGGCTCAAAGAGTAATCTTATCTGCCAAAGACCTTGCTGGTGAACTCAGGTCTGAATAACTCCAAATCCCATACCCTGCCCTTTGACTTACTGCACCTGCTGGGTGACATGTTGGGAGGAGAGGATCATGTATTCTTCCATTCCTTTGCTGTGTGACATTAGGGAAATTCTCCAGCTTCTCTGAGTCTTGGATTGCACATCTGTTGGTGAAGCAGAGAGAGTACAAGCTTTAGAGCCAACGTGCAGTTTGTGTTTGAACCCCACCTCTGTTCCTTACTCATGTAACTCTGGAAATTAACCTCTCTGGACCTCTGTTTTCTCTTCTGTAAAACAGAGATAATGGCAGCCCTATCCCACAAAATATACTGCAAGGGTAAATGGAATTAACATGTGTAAAACTAAGTGGGTAGCACATAGTATGCACTTAGTAAGACACTTAGTAGGTAAATGGCAGCTGTTTTTAGTGTGTCTGTCATGTGATGGAGGTGTCGTGTTGGGTAATCTCTCAATGCTGATGATCTCTGATAATTTTTAGATGAAAGATCTCCCATGGATTTTGGTTTCGCCACAGGGAACTAGTGTAACTCTCCAGGGGTGTAGTTTGGGGTTATCTCAACAAAAATATTTGCAATATGCTAACAAAATTATGGTCAAATCAAGATCCTGCTAGTTGCAAATGATAGAAAACCCCAATTCAATGTGGCCTACACAAAAGAGAAAACTATCTTCAAACATTATCTCCAGATACATACTCTTCTTTCTTCTGTGTTGCCTTCATTCTCAGGCAGGCTTTACCAAGTTGATGGCCAAGATAGTCACCAAGAGCTCTAGGCTGACATTCTTCCATGGGAGCAACCCCAGCTGAAAGAGATCTCTTTCCCAAGAGCAGCAGCAAATGGCCTGAGACTAAATACTTTGGTCTTTCTTTGGGTCTCAGACTCATAAAAAACTAAGATCCCCCCTGAAGCCAGGGAGGTGGAATATTCTGACTGACTGGCCTGCATCCAGTGTTCACCTCTGAAGCCACATGGATGGAAGGTGAGATAGGAAGGCTCCCCTGGGGAGTTGATTGGCGCGTCTATGCCTTAGAGGAGACTAGGACAGTCTAGCTGCCAGTCTGCAGATTTCCTGGGCTTGGAGTCTAAGAGCATAACATAGAGCTTTAATCACCAAGCTGCAAATTTCCTGGGCTTGGAGTCTAAGAGCATAACATTGGGCTTTAATCACATAGCTACAAATTGGTGTCCCACTCCCAATCACAGTGGCCTGGGGAGAGTCCCAGCAGCCATGATCAAATTCCTCAGCCCATCTTCCCCCTGTGCCCTCAGCATAAAATCTCAGATCCCAGCTGTTGTCACATTCATGATTTGGCCCTTCCTGTAGCTCCCTGGTTCCTCACCCCTCCCCTCCACCAACCCTATTGGGATGCTCCAGCTGGACTGAGCCACGTTCACTATCAAGCTCTCACTCACCTCCATCCCAATCTTTGCAAATGCTGTCCCCTCTGCCTGGCACATCTTCCTCCTTCCTCTTCTTTTATTTATTTTTTCAACTGAAAAATGAAAAATTGTATATATTTATGGCATACAACATGATGTTTTGATGTATGTATACATTGGGGGATGACTGAATCAAGCTAATTAACATATCCATCACCTCACATACTAATCATTTCTCATCCTTCAGAACTCTACTCAGACTTAGAAGTCATTTCGTTTAGGCCGGGCATGGTGGCTCATGCCTAGAATCCCAGCACTTTGGGAGGCCGAGGTGGGCGGATCACTTGAGGTCAGGAGTTCGAGAACAGCCTGACCAACATGGCGAAACTCCGTCTCTACTAAAAATACAAAAAAGTTAGCTGGGCATGGTTGCACATGCCTGTAATATCAGTTACTTGGGAGGCTGAGGCAGGAGAGTCACTTGAACCCGGGAGGCTGAGGTTGCCGTGAGCCGAGATCACCCCACTGCACTCCAGGCTGGATGACAGAGTAAGATTCTGCCTCCAAAAAAAATGTCATTTTGTTTATCCTTCTGACTGTCCCTCTACCCTTGCTGGGTCAGTTGTGCGCTCACACCCCCAGCTCCCTCACTCCCACCACAGCTACATCATATGGTATCGTAACTGCTTTATTGTCTGCCTACTTCCCCCTCACCACCCTGCCGTCAGTGAGACTCTGAGAGGGAGTTTTGGGGTGGGTGCGTGTTTCCTAGCTCTTAGCTGGGACCCCCAGAGGGGATCAGGAAGACCTTTCTGAATGGAGAAATATCTGGACAGTGAGGATGATTTATTGACAAGTCCACAGGTCAGAAGAGCAAGGAGCAAGGCACCAAGTATGAGCCGGACTTGAGAAGGTCCTGGTTAGTTGCCAAGAGACCCCAACAGGGATGAGGACAGGGAGGTCTCTTGGAGGTTAGGCAGATAGGGCACTCTTGAATCTCAGCTCTAGATAAGATCTTAACCCAGCTCCAGAACAATAAGAGATCTAGAAGGTTGTGCCCAACAGTACCCCTTAGAGACAAAGATCCTCACCTCTCCCTCCCCCAAGGCACATGGAGATGGTTTGAAAGAAATCTTTGCAGTTCCCACAAAAAGCTTGTGCTCTGCAAACAAAACTTCTCCCTCACCTACCTTTGTGGCATTTGGCTCGCCTCCTTCTAATTTGCATGATGAACCTGCTTGGGTCTCTGATTAGCCCCAGGAAAGCATGAAAATGAGCATTTGACATCATCAAGGGCATCCACACCTGCACCTCTTTGGAGAAAGGGGCTCCTCTATTCAGGCTTTCACGTTTGAAAATAATAAGCAAGTTCAGCTCATTTCTCCACCCCAGGCTGCAAACTGCAGTCTTCTGTCTCCGCGCACACCCCCAGGAACCGTGTTTGCTAACGATGAAGAGGAAGGTATTTTGCTTTTCAAACAAGCCTGAACCCCAATTAGTTTCTCAGAGACTTGATCCTCATTGGTGGCAACTGTGGTTTCTCATCCAGTGTTGTTATTGATTTGGTCAGAAGTAATTAAGGAGATAATTCTTACTCAATTACATTTCCCTGAATTTCCTGAGGTTGCTAACTCTGTTCCCCGGCTGTATTTTCTTTTCCAAATTAATTTTGTCTTGACTCTGAAATGAGCATGGATATGACAAGGCTTGTTGTGCTTGTTGATTTTCGCAGGAACAAAGCAGGGCTCTGTATTTTAATGCCAACTAGGGCTGTCAAACTCGCTTAGTTTTTAGAAAATTAATGTAAAGCATACACAGATTTTAAGATATATATATATGTCATCAAAAATCTTCTACTGTAAAGCAGGAATCTCTCTTCCCTGCCCTCTTCTCATCCTTGATGGCATACCTCAGGGCAGCCACGTCTAACACTTTTTGCTACTTCTTCCAATGACCTGTGCCTCTAAATTATATGTTACCTGTGCTTCTTAGTTTATGCATTTAAGACTTGAATAATTTTCTGCTGCGAAAGATGAGGATCTAGTTCCTGCATCCCCACACCCCTCCCCACCCCTAACTCCCATCCCTCCAAAAGTAGCCTTACCTTTAGCTCCCCTAGTGGTTAATTCTGTAATTTAAAAATACAGATGAGGGCAGGTGTGGTGGCTCACGCCTGTAATCCCAGCACTTCGGGAGGCCAAGCTGGGCGGATCACCTGAGATTGGGAGTTCAAGACCAGCCTGACCAACATGGAGAAACTCCATCTCTACTAAAAATACAAAATTAGCTGGGAGTGGTGGCACATGCCTGTAATCCCAACTACTCAGGAGGCTGAGGCAGGAGAATCACTTGAACCAGGGAGGTGGAGATTGTGGTGAGCAGAGATTGTGCCACTGCACTCCAACCTGGGCAACAAGAGGGAAACTGTCTCAAAACAAACAGAATATATATACACATACACACACACACACACACACACACAACACACATATACACGCATCTCTCTCTATATACACACACACACACATATATAGAAAGAGAGAGAGAGAGAGAGATGATACATTTGTGCTTCTTGCCTCATCCACCCTACAGAGGGTCTTTGACTCCTTACTTTGTGGAAGAGATGAGGGTCTCATCAGCTCTCCTTGCGTCTTAACTACTATTTTTACATTGTCAAGATCAATAGCATTCACATGCCATACCCATAATTCAGTTTCCCAGGCTTTGTCTCTGAGTTGTCTAAAAGTTGAAAAATCAACAGATATTGAAGTTTTATTTTCTACCCTTCATCCACTCACTGAACAAATAACTGCCAAGAAGCCACTCGTTGTTTGGCATTGTGCCTGAAACCAAAAACGCAATGTGACAAGGTCATACTCCTCGCATACATTGCAATGCTAGAATCCAGAGGAGAGAGAAAACACAGAATTTACAATGTAAGAGGAATAGCTGCTTAAATCAGTGGTTTTGAATATGTTTAAAATATTAATACAAAACGTAATAAAAAGGTAAGCTCAATATAGCAAAAAATAAAAATAAAAAGTTTTTAAATTGGAGCGGCTTGGTTTTCTTTCTACTTCATAAATATAAGCCAAGTCTTGGTGCTCCAGCCTCACCCACTTACCTACATACCCCCATTGATCCTCAGGCTGAAGCCGGAGCGCCAGAGGATACAATACACTAGAGTTTCTATACTTCCTCCAGGGACTGAGAGATGGTGACAGGCATCATGGTTGCATTTTGGTTTCATGCTTATAGAGCTCCTTCATCAGCAGTGAGTCTTTACAGCATTCAATGTTCATAACACATTGGCTGGAAATACCACTTTAAGGACAGCTGAGGACAAATATCTTCTCATCATGACAGGTGCCAGAACAGTCACCATGATGCCAGTGGGGTGAGCAGAGAACACCGAGGGGACATCCAGGGCCATCGAGGGGTACATTCTGACTGCCCTTGGCATGAATGTCCCATCCAGGTGGGGTGTGTGTACGTAAGTGGAGCATGACAACACCAGAAGCCAGGTGACCAAGTTCAGTGGGAAAATTAAAATTATAAGATGATGTATCTGGTCAGGCACTGTGGCTCACACCTATAATCCCAACACTTTGGGAAGCCAAGGCAGGACGATTACTTGAGGCTAGGAGTTCAACACTAGCCTCGGCAATATAGGGACAACTCACCTCTACAAAAAAGAAAGAAAGAAAAAAATTTAATTAGCCAGGCATGGTGGCACATGCCTTGGTCCCAGCTACTTGGGAGGCTCAGGAAGGAGGATCACTTGAGCCCAAGAGCTCGAGACTGCAGTGAGCCATGATTGTGCCACTGCACTCCAGTGTGGGTGACAGAGCAAGACCCTGTCTCAAAAATAAATTAATTAATTACTAAAAATATGTTGTATCTATCCAAGCAGTATCCAAGCACACATGCATGCATATGTACCAATTAAGAAAGCCCCAGATTGTTCTTCTACTTGCTTACTTTGCAAACGACCCCGTACTTGTTTTACTTAATGATCACCATTGGGTTCATTTCCTGACTCTGTAGTTATATGCAGTCACTCTGCCCCTCCATGCCTTGGTAGTGATTTTTTTTTTAACCTATACAATGGGCACTTGAGAAGGTGTATTTCTTATGGTCTTGCCCAAACTAACAGTTAGCAAATGGCAGAGCTGGGATTTAAAACCAAATCTGTCTGAATCTAAAGTCTGTGCTTTTCAGTACTACAATCTACTGTCTCCTGTGGTAGTTCAGTTATGGAATGATCTTGTTGACAACCAAGTCATGCCCAGGCCGTGGACAAAAAATTAAATTAAATTAAAAATAAGAAGGTTTTCTATGCTTTATTTTATTAAAAATGAAAAGGTGTTTTTTAAATGCATATGAAAGCCAGGTAATAGCTCACACCCTGAAACAGACCAATGCGTTTTTCTTGCCAATAGGGGAGACTGATACAGTCAAAGAAGTGCTATTAATTTTGTGACTAGCCCCTAAAGAGAAAGTAGATGAGTTTATGTAACCCAAATCATCAACTGTTTCTTGTGGGGAGTTTATTACTGTATAGCTGTATTTCAGTTACATATTTCCATGTGACAAATTACTCTAAACCTTAGCAGCTTAAGGCAACAAACACTGATTATCTCACAATCTCTGTGGGTCGGGGATCTAGGCACAGCATAACTGGGAGCCTCTGGTTCAGGATCTCCTGAGGCCACAATGAAGATGGCAGCTGGGCCTACAGTTATTTCAAGACTCAACAGGGAGATGGCTCACTCCTGAGCTCACACACTTGGCTACTGGCTGGTATCAAGTGCTTTCTGGCTGTAGGGTAGAGATGCATTAGGTTGGCGCAAACGTAATTGTGGTTTCTGCCATTTAAAAGTAACAGCGAGAACCGCAATGATGGTGGACCTCTCCCAAACAGAAGCTCACAACTTGGAAGCTGTTTTTTACCCAGATCAAGAGCAGGTGCCCAAGACAGAAGCCATGTTTATCCTGTAACCTCATCTCAGAAGGGACATTGCATCACTTTTGCCATATTCTAGTCATTAGAAGTGAGTTACTGCTCAGCCCAACCTCCAGGGGAGGGGATTACACAAGGGTGTGAGTACCAGGAGGCGGGGATCCTG